ATATTTGCAGACTAGACGTAAAATAGTGAGCTGAACAAGTTTACTTAGAAGCCCAAGACAGGTTGTCTTAGTAAAATGAATAGTTATAAGCATTTTTTGACGAACGAATTTTTTGTTAATTTTTGTGCAATGGATTTGCAGAAAGAGTTTTTGAGATGTTTTAATTAATAATTTTTTAAGTTAGCAATTGATTTATACTTTGATATAAATTAATTTCTTCTTAATATTTTAGTATTATTATATTTTTTGATTTAATTTCTAGTACTCTTTACAGATATGTTTTGGATTTTAAGTTAATACAGAATGTAGGATACCTTTATATAATTAATTTTTTCTATAATGAACTAATGGTTCCAAAAAAAAAAAAAAAAAAATTTGTTACAGAAATTATTTATGTTTTTTTAGAACCTTATAAAAATTTTTTATGCTGAATAATTATGAAATTTCTAAATTTTAAGTCTGTTATATTCAGAGTTCATTATATAAAGATTCATTATATCCAAAATATCCCTTAGATTGTAGGCCAATACAAGCAAATTTGTCTGTGTTTTTGTATTTTTTTAGCTCTGATCTATTTTTTTAATTTGTTAAAATATATAAATAAAATTTGGTATAATAATATTTGAAAATAAGGATTATTTTTTTGTAGTATTTATTTTTAAATTATAAGAAAAAAAAATTAGGTTGCTTATAGACCAAAAATATACAATTTTTTTAAAAATTTTTTTTTAGTTTATCTATGATAACCTTTTTAAATTTTAATTTTAAACATATAGTTTTTAATACAACTTTTTAGTTTATATTAAAGATTACAATTTTAATTATTACAAGTTTAGTAATTTATATATAAAAATTAATATTTGTTTTAAGAGCTAAAATTTTTTAGCTTTGAAAACATATAAAACTTTAAAAAACTTGAAAAATATTTTAATAGTAAACCCTAATGTTACACAATCTTTAAACTTTAATTAATCAAAAGTTTTTTAATAAAGTTAAAAAAGTTTCTTAACAAAATTTATAAAATAGGTTTTTAAAAATATTTTTTATTTAGAAAGTATATTGCTAAAATTAATTAGTAAGTTTTTATTATAAAAATTAATTTTAAAAAAATTAACACAAACAAATTTGCCTGTATTACAATCTAAGGGATATACAACATCTTAATAATCTACAAATCCAAAAGAAATATATTTCATGAATGTCTATTAATTCATTAAACTATTTTATTTTTAATTACAAATTTCAAACTCAAGATTATTTTTAACTCTATTTATAACCATAAATTAAACTTATATAATCATTTGTAAAAAACCTTAAGAATGTTATGCTTAAAGCAAAGCTGTGTATGATGTTTTGGTAATTTGCAAATCCAAAAAAAATCCTATATTTTATGAATTTTTCTATATGTTAATCAATTTTTTTTATATGCATGTAAATGCAATAATAATCATCTGTGATATGTCATTCAACTGATAATATTAATATAACTATAGGTTTAGAAGGTTTAAAATAGAATATTCAAGCAGAGGTATTAGATAATTAATTAGAAACCTTTAAATAAACTTCTTAAATAAATAATATAAAAAAAATTATATATATAACCAATTGTATACTTTTTTTGTAATGATTTACAAAAATTACATTACCAAAAAATTGTTAATAAAAATCAAAAAATCAAAAAGATCATCTTTAAAAAAAAATTACCAATCAGATTTTTTCAAATAAAATTGTTATAACAGATCTTTGGTTTTGATTAATTAATGATTGCAAATCACAAAATTTTAACTTATATTACATAAATTACTAATTTCCAATCATAATATTAATTTTTTTTATTACAAAAATAAAAATTTTGAAAAATAATATCATATTATAATAAAATTGTCCAAGAATAATAAAATTCTAAGTAATTTTGACCAAATATTTTGCTTATTACTCTTGGCCAATCAAAATCAAGAATCTGCCATGAAATTTTGTAGAGCAAAATTATTTTTTTTTAATTCTATAAATCATAAGATAAAAATAAAAAACTTTCATTAATTCTAGTATGCAATGCATAACTTTTACTGTAGTAGTTATAAAGCATATCGAATTTGGATTTGATTAGCCAACTTCGATAGTCATCATTTTACATGAATTTTAAGAGCAAAATGGGCGACTGTATTCATTTTTTAAAAAATTTTAATATATTAGCCTTAAAATTTCGGGTCGGGTCGGCTTATAACCCGACCGTTCGGAGCACTAATTATAATGCGATCAAGAAAATTGGTATAGTGTGTGATTTCACTGTGCCCATTCCTAATTTTTAAAGAGGGTAATGTTCTCAAGCAGTCCAGAATAATAAATCCTAAATTCTCTTTCAAAGATCGCTCACTTTCAAGTTTTCACATAACCAGATAATAGCATCATCACGTGATTCACTTAAAGTCATTTTAACTGCTTTTCGGAATGTTGTTTCGGAACTCAAATCTAGTATTATTTGTTGCTCTGATTTAAATTTTTGATGGATTTCATCAAGCAAGGACAATCCGAAGTGATCAGTCATTGTATTGGAATAGGAATTCGAGGCAAGTAATAAAATTGACGATAACGATAATATTTCCTGTACATTTGATTCCACAAATAAACCCTTGTCCCTTGCAATATTTAGTGACTGCTTCTGATAATTTCTAAAAAGTAGAGACACATAAGTCTCTCCCATGTGTAAATCATTCGCTGGATCTCCATTTTTGAAAGAAAATTCACATGGAACATCATCAATTATGATATCATTCTCCTCTTCCTCAATGAATGGATTTTCCTCTTCCAATGGATATATTATTGAACTACCCAGGGAGGGAGTGGTATTTCCATCCAACTGGCGATACTGCTTTCATCTTTTTCTGACATCCTGTCCGTCACGAGTAAAGTCAGCCAATATTACTGATGCTTCCTTATATTCTACTACCGTCTCTTTCAAGACATCAAGAGACCTCTTATTCTACATAAACATGATATTTGTTAGTGATAATATTAAATTTAGAATTATAGAGTCAAACACTTTACCATGATCAAGCATTTATCCGACTATTTCATGGGAGTAAGAATTTAAATTAAGCTTAGCCTTAGGATATGTGAGTACAGACTAAAAGAAACAATTTTCATTACCTGTATTTCACGAACTTTTGCAGCAACTACTTTCTTTTTAAATTCCGCTTTTTTATCTGCAAAAATACTCGCCCAAAAATCTTGGATACGTCCGCCAGGATTTGAATCATTCTCAAAAAAAAGAAGTTATCTCGCGCTTCTGCAAGTTTATTATTATTGAATATATAACTAACTATCCCGAGCTGTAATCATATAGACGGATTTCGACGGAACGTATTCCATCACCACTCAGGACCATAATCCAGTAGCTAGCCAAAATCCCAGCGGAACGTATTCCATCACCACTCAGGATCGTAATTCAGTGGCTAGCCTCTCAGTTGGACAAATTACATGGGCAGATACCGTAGTTCCCCATGCACTTTGTCAACCGCCATATAATTCGCAAAAGCTGAGTGGTTGGAATAATCCAACCAGTGAACAAGTATACTAATAGCAGGTGCCTACCTGAAACTGCTTCAACATTCTCGATGCTACCGATTTCTCTTCCCATGATCCAGTTTCTATAAGTCACTCAAGTTGTCGGGTGATTGCTATCTTAACTTTGGTCTTGCTCATTTCATATTTCTTTGCCTGCCATTCCCGATGATATTCAAGCGCGTCCCAATCTTCATGAGGTGTGGAGATGAAATAAGAAAACTCTTGCTTTTCTTTAAGTTCACTAAACTTTCCCGACATGGTAGAGGAAAAATTTTTCCGAGATTATTTTACGAAAAAACGCGAATCGACCAGTGCGGCCATAAAGATTACGGGTCATGTGAGTAGCGCGACTGCCGCAGTTGGATCCAACGAATCAAGATCGACATTTCATATGATCGTTGTAAATATTTTTTAGAGTGACCATTAGATCCATATGACAGTTTTTATTTCGACTTAAATATATTATATTGCTATTATATTCATAGAGAGTATACGTAAGGTGGGTTGTATAAATACTGTACATAATACTCTAAGTTCAAGGTAAACGATAATAAAAATACAAGTATACAGTTATAATATACAGTTATAGTTTTTACAGTTATAAAACATTAAATATTAATATCATTCAGGTTCATAATCACGGTTATTTGACTCATCTGGAAATGACAGGTACATCAGATACGGTTTTTTGTTCTCTGGAGCCCAAGTAGTTTACCGTTTCTTTTTTCACTCTACCGCTTGTACCTCTTCTTTAATTTGCAATAATTCAAGATGTAATCAGCCAATTAGCATAAGGATTGTTAGAAAGGGTAAATGATTGAGAAATTTTGAAAATGTTATGGTCTATTGAGAGTAAGCATAAGAATGTTAGCTTTTGTAATAAATTATGTAGCGTAGGTTGAATTCATAATATAAACTACGGCTGGTATATCTGTAGATTAACTCTTAGAAGTTGTTAGTGGTAACTTACCATATGATAAATTGCTATAAGATTTATCGATAAGTTTTATTGATAAGTTATTAAATTACCATTGATTTTGGCTAGCATTAAAACAACAGGATTTATTAGATATGATCACGGTGACCAATCGGGTAATTGATTTTGTGGATTAACACCATTTATTTCTTTGGTAAACCATACACTTCATGATTTCATCACTCCGTTCCTGGTAATCGTATCGGGACGTTACTTTTGTCCCCCACAATACATATCAGATATCGTATATTTCTTAACGTTAGTGTAAAGCTTGGCAATCATCACGTATCTATGCTAAGTTTCACATTTCGGAGATAACTTTATCCATAAAGGGCACAAACTTCTAACATCTGATTTTGAATAACGTTACGTTAGGGTGCGGCCTAAACAAACGTTAGGATAATATATGCATATAATTTTTTTTTTTTAACTTGAAGCTTTCAACTAGCTCTACATGGTAATAGAGCTATTTTTTTCAATCGTTTATCAATTATTATATAAGTATTAAAGATTAATTATTTAACTAATTTTTACAAAAAATTTTTTTAAAAGAATATTTAGTTTACACGTAGTGTTTATACACGGCTATAATTTATTGAATTACAACTGCGTGTAACATGGCATCAAAACAATTTTACAAACATAAAAATCAAATCCTTGCTTATGGTTAGGGTAAGGGTGGGTTTGGGATTGGGCAAGATATAGCTTATACTAAGCTTATACTAAAATTGCGCAAGAAAATTTTTTTGTTAAAAATCAAAAGGTGGTTTCATAAATCTCTATTACTATGTAGAGTTAGTTGAGAGCTTCAAGTTAAAAAAAATTATTAGATACTTAATTTAGGTTGATAATTATCTAGCATAAATCGTCGAAAGAATTAATTAACGATAATGTCAAATTTTAACCATTAATAAATATATTATCCCTAACGCTAACTAATGGTTGACTTAATTAGTTTTAGTCCGCACCCTAACGTTACGTGCTACGTACGTATGTTGCGTAGGTTCATTGATAAAGAATGTTGGGAAATTCACTAAATTTTGATTGTCAATATAGTAATTTTACAAGTAACCCTTTTTAATGATTGACCTTTATCGTGTTAAGGACAGTTATAGAAGAAATAATGAGTTTGAATTCACTATTTTACCATATAATCATGTTGAAAATATTGTTTGTATGTACATATAAATTACCAAATCATATAGAAAGGCACTTGTTGACATATATGATAAATACCGTAAAGTCGGGCATGGGTACCCAAGTATTATGTATCGTACAAGTTAGATATAGGTGATTAACTGGCATATCCGACATATTGTTTAATTCTTAAGGTCAGATAGTAACTAGAGCCAGTTATCTGTTATTAAGTGCGTACGTTCAATATGCGTATATACGTATATTTTAAATATTTGTTACGTAATTAGCTAATACCTGTAATACAGTAATAGTAATATATGTCTTCATGATGCATATATCAATTAATGCATTATGAATCTGGCATGTCTCTATCCTGCACAGATGTACATGTACGTACAATCAATTAAACAATTATCCCCAAAAGGGTTAAAAAAAAGTACAAACATTTCCTAGAAAAGATATTTAATTATTTTATACGCATGTATGTAGTACGTAAAAAGTTATTAAAAACCGGTCATTATGTTTTACTTCATTCTCTACCTGTTTCTTTGACCATTTATTTACTTTGGCATTTAAACAATTCTTTAGCCCTTGTTCTTTTTCGTTGGTCAGGAATGGAGGTTTAAGTTCCTTTACTCTTAAAATCATTGTTATATTATTTATTACTTATTATAAATAAACAAAGATGACAAAAGTTTTATACGAGTCGAAGGATATATTAAAAAAATATCCTAAAACAGAACCTTTTCTATTAGTATGCCTGAGAGGAACATGTATGACAATATGTATAATAATACTTTTAATATATTTTGCTTTCTTGTTATATTTTGTTGCCACCGATAAACCCTATTTGATGACGGTTTTGGTGCCCAAGACTTCTATTCCTGTTCCAGGTAATAGTCAATTTTAATTTACTGTTATCCAAAAAAATGATGTTATTTTATTTTTTTAATTTTAGTTATTTTATTTTAATATAAAAAGACATGATCTTTACATCTGCTTTTAATTTCTCCATGAGATGTCAATTTCAGTATCTTGGTATGTACAAATCTAACCAAATAATTTATTTAATCTTAAATATAATAATTGCATACATGCATAAATGCTACTTTATTGCTTATATAAGTGATTTACTTTTTACTTTTCTCGATTAAAGACCGATTAAGCACAGATGATGACACGAATTTATGTACAGAATATATAAACGCAACATTGTGCTCCACAGAAACTGATGACAATCGTTTTGATGGCCGTTGTATCGGTCAATTCGATAGTCGAAATTGGCTATCTATTTCTCAAAATATGTTAAATTACACGATCCAACCAAGTCAAAATAAACTTTATGCAATTACTTTTACATTTTATCAAACTCCAAACGATACGGGATATAATGCTAGCTCTGATACCGGAATGAAAGTCAAAGCTGTGGAATCCAGTAAGTAATTTAAGTAATTTGTAATGAAATATTGATTACTTATTTCAAGAAAGTTTTTTCACCTTTAAATTATTTTAATTTTAGCATTTAACCCAATGAGAATTAATGATAACTTAAAATATCTTATGAACCTAATTGACAAATTTTATTATGAAAGATTGTTAAATTTAAATCTTCATGTTCTAGCCTATCAACAGGTAACTACAAAAAAGAAAGAAAAAAAAAAGGCGAAAAAAAAGATATACTTATAAAATATGTTCTTAAACTTGATAAAAAGGTTAATCAAATGTATATCACCAGGAAACAAAGATACTATCGAATACCAAGTTTTCTAAATGTCATTGGAATTCCTCCAAATTACTTTAAAGCTCCTTTCATTGATTCTACCTTTGGTTAGTAATTTTCCATTTTCTTAATTTATAATATTTAAACATATCTAAACATATATTATTTATTAAATAATAGAATCGGTCAAAATTCCATCCGTTCAATTTAATAATGTAAACGTTACATCAGATTTATTAAATCTTGGTAATATTTATAGTGTTTTGTTGGTTGGAACTAATAATTGGATGGAAGAGATTCAGACTGAGGCCAGGTAAATTATTATTCTTAATTTTTTTGGGATGATCTGTATTGTGAACATTGCCTTACCTTCCATTATCTTATTTTTTTTTCTAATATTTAAATTAGCTCTGTTAACGTAAGTTTTATAACTTCATTCCATATTCATTATGATTTTATAAATATATGCAATAATAAATATAATACTAATAATAAAAATTTCTATTTAACTATCTAGCTTTTAAATGCTCTTGCATTATTGGCCGCATTTTATGGTTTGCTAATGGGAATCTATGTCTGCCTCTTTGGTAAAATATACAATTTACTTTATTACATATCATTCATTTCAACTTATTTCTTCTTATTTTAATTTATAATTAATCTTCAACTTTTACAAAAAGGTTTCACTGCCGTGACTCCCTGGGGAATCTGTCAACGAACTTGTTGTAGACGTCGTGCAAAAGATAAACTAAGTCTTTACTTTGCTCCAGATGGCATCCCATTAATTTCTCAAAACAAAATCAGAAAAACAATCCCTGAAAGATTAGATGCTATGGAAAATTTCATCAAATTATTCATGTTAAATGTTACTGATTTTGAGGATCCTGATTCAAAATCTACCATCCCCAAAACTAATGTCAGTAGTAATCTCACTTATTTAGGTGGTGGTATTCGTGATGATGAGAAACCTTTTCGAAAAGGTGTTATTTCATTTATTTCTGAATCTTCAACGTTAATTGACGCGATGCCTGATGGTGATCAAACAATCAATAATGTAAAACCATCTGATAGTATAACAATACCTCAAGTAATGATTCCTCAAAATAGTCTTTCCACTGTTTCATTACCAACTATTAAAGAAGAAGTTATATCTGAACTACCACAAGTAACAATAATACAAGAAAAAATTCAAAATGATTCTGATCTACCACAATTAACAATAATACAAGAAAACAAACAAAGTGATAGTGATGTTTCTTCAACTCATAGTATAACAACTATTGAGCTTGATAGGCAAAGTAAAATAAGTGTCGAACGAAAGACTATTCATAGTATTATTGAAGAAGAAATCTATGTGGATGAAGATGGAATTCCTATAGATGTTAATGCTTTGAATTCTGATTCAAAGACTATTCAAAGTATAATTGAGGAAGAAATAATTGTAGATGAAAATGGAAATCCTATAGATGTTAATATTTTGAATACCAATCAATCCACTTTTCCTGGAAGTGGTGCGTTACTGGTTCCAAGTGAAAGAAAACGAAGGGCAAGTGTCGTATCAACAAAAAGCGTTGTATCAACAAAAAGTTTTGTATCAACAAAGACTGTTGTAAGTCAAATAAGTCAGATTATATATCAAGATGAGGGTGGTATAATTGAACATTCTGGGGAATTGGGTAATATTACTGAATATTCAGGGGAACTGGGTAATGTAACTGAAATTGTTGAAACCGAAGTTGTTGAAACAGATATTATTGAAACTGAAACTGAGGTTGTCGAACCTGAAATCGATCAAGTGGAATAGGATCTAGTGAAAGAAAATTAATTTTTGTTAATTATAATTAGTAAATATTATTTTAGTGCTACGTAGATATGAAATGTTTTTTTTTCAATTTGTGATCTATTAATTAGGTGTATGTTTTTCAGGTTATGGAAATGCAATTAAGCAAAAAAAAGAATTATATTATTCTTAATGTACAATTACGTATCATTCTGTGAATGCATTTTTCAGAGAGTATTAATATTTGGATTTTAATAAATTTGTTTCAAATATGCCTATTAGTAATTCTATCCAAACCTGTTTTTTAAATTTTGATATTACTATATAATTTGGGTTTGAGCATTTATATAGAGGGTGCTAGTATAAACCAAGCAAATTATTTCTTAGTAAATTTTTTTTAAATTTGAATTAAAATATTTTAACAACTTAAATTAAACTTGGTAAAAAATGTTTATTTTAATTCTATATAGTTATAGAATTAAAATAAAAAATTTTCATCGATCTTGGTTTAATATGTACAAAGCAAAAAAAAGTCATTTTGATGTAACACTCGTAATAATGCTGGCTTCATCAACAGGAGGAACTGTCGATAACATATAAAAAAATTATTTTACAATACCAGATCATCTCGCTAGTAAATGTTATGATTATAATCCACACCATTTTTATTATGATAAAATGGTGTAGGATATATTCATAACATGTACTAGCGGAATGATCTGGTATTGTAAAATATTTTTTTTATATATTGCACACCGGATGAAGAATTAGCCGTGTAACATCGACGGTTCCTCCTGTTGGCTTCATCACTTCATTGATGAACCAGTCAGTAATTGATAAATAACTTATAAGCCATTTATAAGAAATTTTATAATTACTGACAAATAATTACTTAATCTTAGTAATCATACTGCATTATATATATTATTGGCTTAAATTATACTTAATTACAAATTTGAAGATTTCTGTCTATATGATTATAGGATTAGTATTCTTAGAGATGATGATCTTCTATGATGATTAATTTCTGTAATAGTTCAGTTGCATAAAAATGATTAAAAATTAGCACAAAATTGATTATCACAGAAAATCGTCATCCTTGAGTATTGTAGAATTATAGCATTATAACATTATGGCATATAATATTTATTGCAATTAGATACTATGTTGTAATTAATTCTATTATTTAATAAAATGTCATAATGTTATAATACTTAATTTAGTAATTCTATAACCAACCAGTGATGTTATACTTTGCTATAACAAAGTCTCAAGTAACAATAATATTTTTATAATTTGAATAATAAAATTTTGTTATTATATTATTAGAGAATTGTTAATTTTATCTCTTATTTTATTAATGTTATCTTTTTACATAATCTAATTTTAATTAATAATTAAAGTCAGAAAGGTCAAAAAGATTAAAAATTAAATATTTTATATAAAAGAAATAGTATTAGCAAAAGTAAAAGTAGTATTAACAAATCTTTATAATTAATATTATAATTTTTGAATATTAATAAATTCAAAATTCTGATTATTATAAATTTATTTTTTAAATAATTGTATTACTTATGAAAAAAGTATAGTTAAGTTAATACTATGTTAATAAAAAAATTATAATCTGAATAATCTTTATTTTGAATAATTCTTTGGTTTAAACAAGTTTTAATTTGAATAATCTTTAATTTAATAATTTTTGACCTAAATAATCTTTGATCTAAATGATCTTGATTTAAATAATCTTTGACTTAAATAATCTTTGATCCAAATAATCTTTAATTTATTAATTTTTAATTTAAATAATCTTTGACTTAAAGAATTATTTAATTTAAATAATTCTTTAATTTAAATTATTATTATTATTATTATTTTTTATAATGCCAAATTATAACTTATATTTAATTTAGTTTTTTGCATTACTATTATGTATAGTTATATTATATTTGTGCTATTAGATTACTAATTACTCTAGATATCCAATGTGACATTACACTTACATTTTTCTATGTACTTTATTTTGTAGTCTTTACTATATATTTCAATCATTACTACTAAACTATTGAAAAGACTGTAAATTATCTTGTTATATTTAAATATTCTTTTATCTTTTTAATTTAACAACAGTCCACCTATCTATTACTTGTAATAACCCATTCTTTTTCCAAATTAGTTGACTCTGGTAATTTCTTGCTTTTATTGTTACCAATTTGGTATATACAACCTAATTTACTTTCTAGTATCCTGATGGCATGGTTGAATTTATTGAAATCTGAATTATTAATCTGCAGTTTATTATGTATTCTTTTTAGATGTACTTCTATAGTTGGTTTAGTCTGTAACTTGATCATATATACTTTCTGCAGGCTTTTCTATAAGTATACCACTAACTATATACTGATGTATTACTAGTTTGATGTTATAAAAAGATCTAAAACCTTGACTTATTACAAATAAATATGATGTCTATCATCTAAGTTATGATATACAACTACTTTGGAGAATATTTATCAAGTACTTTAGGATATTTGCTTAAGATATTCTAATTTTGGTTAGACTAATCCTTGTCACAGATCTTCTCTGTATGCATTATATTGCTTACTATTCCAGTTTTAGTTATATGATATTACTCTTCCAATCAAGTACTTTATAAATTAAATACAAAGATGTTGATGTTACTTTGTCTCCTAGAGACTTACATGTGTAATACTATTGTTAGCCAAACCTTCTGTAATGTTGCTTCACACATAGTGTCTTTATTCTGCAGAATCAGTCTCTTTTTGAAAATTCCTAATTCATTTTTGTACTTTATCTTAAAAGAGCTCTATATTCAATTTGGCTCTTTATAGGTTACAGAGTTAAAATTCTAAGATTTTGCCTCCAGTCTGACTTGAATTATTGTCTTTGTTTATAAAGAATTAGCAGTTTTACCATTAAGCTATAAGGTCCAATTTCTTTTAAATAATTATTATAAATATATAAGTATATATTTATTATAATATTATTAATTATAAAATTGTATTTTTTTTAAATATTTAAATTTTTTTTATATTAAATATTTAAAATTATTATACTTATATTATAAAGGTTCAGATTATAATATTTAGATTATAAATATTTAAATCATAATATTATTTAATTATAATATTTAGATTATTAGGTTTAGATTATAAATATTTAAATTATAACATTTAAGTTATAATATTTAAGTTATAATATTCAAATTAAGATTATAATGTTTAAATTATAATAAGTATTTAAGTTATAATAGATATTTAAATATAATATTTAAATATATTTAGATTATAATATAATATTCAAACTATAAGGGGTGTGGCGACCTAGTGAAGTGGTCAGGTTGTCAACCCCCCAAGTGGTAGGTTGGGTGTTCAAATCCCAT